TTGAGTTTCGGTGAAATGAGTTTATTTTCACATATGTATAATAGCTTATAATGTTGTTTATAGTGTAGTGAACAAAAGATGTTATAAACACAAAGCTCAATAAAGGACACATGATTGAAAAAATTTGTTTTAAATTTAACACATTCCACGTGTTCTAAACGGTTAACTCAAATTTTTATGTTAATTTAAATGTAAGATGAATAACGTAAGATGTTAGACATTATTATGACACAAGTGTCATGTAAAAAAAATAATACAAAAATTAATAAATTTCTAAGAAAAAATTGTGGAAGACTATTTTTTAAATAAAATTGACATTTTTGATACATTAAATTAATGTGTAGTTTATGCATTCATCTTAGAATTTACATTTTTAAATATATAAAATTTTTATATTACTTCATCACTTACTCATAAATTATATTATTTTTACCCTGAGAAATGTTGAATATCATTTTAACACGAAATATTTAAGTAGCATAATCACATTATGTTAAATTAACACTCGAATGTGTTAAAAATTTAACATAAAATTTTAATAAAGACTTGAATGGACCGTTTTCAACACAAATACAAAATATTTTTTACTGTACAATTTTTGAGTTATGATGTATAAAAAAAATGTAAAATATGTGCTTACAAAGAACCTTTACATCATGGTTCAAAAAATATTCATTAAACTTCATGCGTGTGACATCTTTTGTTCATCACGTATACATTATAAACTACATTGTATGTGAAACCCAACTCATTCCATCGAGATTTAATTTCATATAATTCCATATAATTAGTGCAGAGTTTTTATGTAAAATTTAACACATTTCATGTATCCCCAATGGTCCACTGAAATTTTTGTGTTATAACTTTAGCATTAGATGAATATGTTAGAAACTAACACAAATATTATGTAAAAAATTAACACAAAAAATATAACACTGAAATTTGTAAGCAAATTGTAAAAGCACATTTCCTTAAAAAATTAGCATTTATAGTGTATTAAATTTTATTCGTTTATATTAGGATTTACGTTTTAAAATACATTATTTTTATGTTAATTATTCACTACTCATAAATTGTATTATTTTAACACTAAGAAATGTTGAATACGAATTTAACATAAAATGTTCAAATAACAAAAAATTAACAAGCGGATTTAACACAAATACAACATTTTTTTACTATGTGTCTCAGATTAACCGTTTTCGGCTATGGAATTTTTAATTAATCTGAAGCCTTTCTTATGTAATAATTGATTCACAATGTTCACAATTTTCTAAGCTTCAACGTTAAATATTTAGGTAATGGAATTTCAGGCTAGCACGTCAAAAAGCGACAAGTTAATAAAGGGACCTGTACAAGAGTTTTCCATTCTAATCGGTTACTCTTCATAAATTAAATGCCATCGGTATCGAAGCCTTTTGTATCGATAAATGCGCCTCGTATAACGAGCCTGTAACAAATCCGACGACGTGTGCCAACGTGTAAACACACTCCGCAACACTCGTAGCCACAATCCCTTCGCCCTCGCGCGCAGTGGGGCATCGCCGTCGGGATGATCGCACAATAAAACACTGGCATAATATTTCACCCGGCTGGTTGAACACCGCAAATACACTCTAGGACCACATGCCGACCTTATTTCGCGCGGGGTGAGAAGAGACGAGATGGGAAGGGATGAGAAAGGGAGAGACGCGTATGCCAGGGCGTTAGCGAGGGTGAGATCGGCGAGCGAGTCCCCGCGAGGTTTCATCGCGTGCTGCGGGGACACCCGCGGGCCTCACGTTCCCCTTCGCGGATTAGCCTCGCTACATTTCGTCCCTTCTGTCGATGCGTATGTCCCGTCATTATGCTTCTAACTCTCTGCAAACGCAAAACCAATGGCACCGCCACCCACAGCGGACGAATTTTTCGGAGTATCCGAAGAGATCGCTATTGTTTTCTCAAGCTATTAAGTATTGTGAGAAATTTACTTGGTTATTTCCTCGGTTATTTCATTATTTTTGCGATTAATTATTTTGATAGCTTATTTTTATTGAAATATTTATAATTTTCTAAAACTTTATCCTTACACTTAATTTTTCGCTGAATTTTTTTCGCTGAACTCTCCGGAACTGATGCTGACTAAATAAAATACATTCACCTGAATCTAATATAAGACTCATTTTTATTAATTAAAAGCACTAATTAATGTCAAGGAACCAAAATAGCATAACTTGCATAAAAAAGAATTAATATTAATAATAAGTATATTTTAATAAGAATAATTTAAATTTGCAAGCGTAATATAAAAAAAATTGAATTGTTTAATATTTTTGATAAAGATATGTATAACTGGGCCCAATAGATCCACACACTGGAGAATTAAGATAAAAAATACATATCCTTGCTCATTTTTAGACTTTTTGGTTGGACGGAGAAGTATACGCTTTACACATATTACATTAATATAATCAGGAATATATATATATATACATATAGTAACAGAAAAAATATATCTATATTGTATAACAACCTTGACTAAAAAATATCAGGCACCTTATTAATTATTATTTAAAGTTTCAGCTCAAAAATTTATGACATTTATTATAAATTATCCTTTGTGTCAAGATCCTTTTAAACTTAGGGCTGGTAACAAATAGCTAACAATGTAGTTAAAAGAATTTTAAATAAATTAAACAAATATAGGTGCCTAATATTTTTAGCCAGGGCTGTATAAATAATTTAATCGTTCGTAATATATTTTAGCTATTTTAAAATATTTAAAATTTGCTAAATTAAGAGACAAGCAAATAATATAATTGTTTAAAATTGTCCATTGAAGGGTGATTAATTTAATTGATTTTGAGATGTATCAAGAGTGTCTGCTTTTATAGAGAGCATACTAGTGCGGGCAACTAACACGATTTCGTATAACGTTAAAAGTATATTCTGTAGTACATTTAAACGTATATGCAGGGAAGGGAGAAAAGGCTGACTGCAGTCTGCGCGTCGTTTTCGCCGGAGGTCAGACGGCCGAAACGAGAATTGCTCGAATTTTGTTAAGTTTGGCAGCAATTACTTTTGATACCCGACACGCGGCCGTAATTGCGTTGGGCCAAGCAGAACGACGGGAGAGGGGTAATAATTCGCTAATATCAATTTCAAATTTCAATTAGTATCATCTCGACGTCCGCCTCTGCTCTTCTCCCTCCCTCCCCCTCCTCTTTCTCTCTCTCTCGATCTTTCTCTCTGTCCTTCTCTATTCGCGGACCCCACAGGAACACGCCATGATCTAAAATTCAATTTGTCCCTTCGTACCGGAGAGCCGCAAAGAGAGGAGGAGAGACATAGTGCAGCAGCAGGCGGATAAAGGGAGAAGCGAGAGATGAAGGGGAGACGTCATGATGGAGTGAGCGAGATAAACAGCCGCACAGAGATAACGGGAGGGGACTAACAGCAAGCGCGGGTGGCCGAGGAGGGGGGGAGGGGGGAGGTGGTCGTTGGTGATGAGGGGGACCGAAGGGGTATAGTTAGTGTACACCGGTTCTCTAAAGCCACTCGCGTGCACGCCGTTATATAACGAGAGAGAAACGGCGGGGCCCCTGTAGGCACGCGCATGCGCGACATGCCGACCCATTATAAATTGATAACTCCGCCGTTTATTAAGTTCCACGACCGATGCCTGCTTAGGCAAAGAGCCCTCTACGCGTCGCGCCGCTCTCTCGTTCGCGCTTTCTCTCTCTCTCTCTCTCTCTCTCTCTCTCTCTCTCTCTCTCATCCCGCGTGCACCAGCTCCTCTCTCGCCGATACATACATTATTTATTTACGCGAGTTTACAATCCCTCTAATGGGGATTGGCGTAATCGGCCACCCATCCGTTCCCCTCCGCATCCTCGCCCTCACCCAACTTCCCCGCACTCCCTTGTATAACCGTCCACCCCGCTGCAGCACGCCGCTGTCGCGCTCCCTCTTAATCATGTTTCACCCCGGTTTCGAAAATCCGCGCGTTGCACGGCGAAATCGGAAGTGGCTTCGATGCTTCGTTTTCCAAAGGCCAATACGCGCGATACCCCTGTATACAACAACGGGTCCAGAAAAATCTGACCGGATGAAGGGTTGGTCGTGTCATAAGGCGATTAGAGATATATGTATTATTTAATTTCACGAAAGTTGTCGAATTTTGTTTGTCGAATTTTTCGCAATCGTGACATGATAGAAATCTTATTTTCGACAATATAAATCACAAATTACTGATTTTTTCCTTCAAACGGTTATTAATATTTTATAATAAATTATTGAAGATACTCGTATAGAGCTCTATCCTTGATACACCATAAAAAGTGTTTTGTACTTATGATAATAATTGCATGGTAAAACAAAAGATTAGAACCTCCATTTTCATAGTTATTATACTCTAATTGATAATTATTTTTAGTGCCAACTAAATACAGCCTTGGTTAAAAATATTAGGCATCTTATTAACCATTATTTAAAGTTTTAGTTCAAAAATTGATTTATAACATTTATTATAAATTGTTCCGAGAATCTTTTAAATTTATGTATAATGTTGGTAACAAATAAGTAACAATGCAGGTAAAAGAATTCCAAATAAATTAAAAAAATGTATATTCATACTTATGTATTATTTTTACAGACCAAGGCTGTATTTCTTTTGGTATCCAGAACTGTAAATGTAATTATCAATATTATTAACATTATAGTATAACTATAAAAATGGAGCTTCTAACCATAATTATTTTATCATGCAATTGTAATCATAAATAAATACGAAACATTTTCCTCTTATTGTCAATTATGTAATTTATTAAAACGATAAGCAAAAGATACCTATCTCAAAGTACATTTCCACCTTAAAAATATAATTTTTGCGACGTAAAAGCCCCTGCAATTGTGAATAAAAACTCGCTCGAATCTCCGATCGTAGCAATCTTTCTCTCTCTCTTTTTTTTTTTACCGCAGAAGAGATCATGAAATCAACTGACACTGACGTGTGGTTGCAGATTGGCGCGGTTCACGCCCACCAACCGAACAATAACCACCACCAGCACCATCAGCAGCAACAGCAGCAACAGCAACAACAGCCGTCGAGTCAACCGCAGGTGCCGGGTGCTGGCGCGGGAGGGGCCGGCGGGCCGGGGGGCGGCGTGGCCAGGGCCGGAGGCATGTTCTGCTACCACTGCCCCCCGGGCCTCCCAGCGCCGCGATTACCGCCATCCCTGGAGTATCCTTTCGCCCCGACTCACCCCTGTAAGTAAAAATTCGATTCCTCCCACTGCGCGTACACGATATATTTTTTTTACCTCCCTTTTTCGCCCCCTTGTCGACTTTCGATCGCGTCTCGATTGGCGAAAGGCGTGCCGTGGTAAATCGCTATAAAATGTTACGAGGAAATTTTTAGATTTATGCGTAGCTATTCTCGATGAAAAAAAAGGGAAAAGGAGGCAGTTTTGAACAATAATCTTTCGAACCTGTAAAACTTCTGAAAAACTTTACTAAAGAAATAGATAGTAAAGACGAAAGAAAATATTATATCTAGATGCTATCATTTGTTATAACAACGACATAACTCAAAAGTTGTAATTTTGAATTGCTTCCAGAAAAAGAACGGAATCATAAAAAAAGAAGAGAGAACATAGGCTTCAAAAGAACGTACACATTAGTTTCTCTATAATCAATTATTATACAAAAATTATATTTCAAAATTAATAGTATAATATTTTAATGATTCACAACACAATTGAAACTTATTTTCTGCAAAACTTTGCTCTTTGAGTTATATCATTGTTGTAGCAAATAAGCGATATACGTATACATAAATTACAGATTACATACAAATATAATCAATCTTTTTATTTTTTTAACTTTAATTTCAAATTAGTAAGTTCCTAAGATGTATATACATACGCATATATAATTATATCCTGAGAGAAATCTTACGAGATAATTTTGGCAAAAGAGACAATGATGTGAAGAAAGAAAAAATCTCCTGAAAAAGAAGAAAAACATGATGAAGAAAACAAGCGCAATCGAGAGACAGAAAGAGACACCGGGTATACAGCAGGGAA